AAGAGCGGAAGTGGGAAACACTCACCAGAAGGGGGTGGCCACGCCACAGTCTCTTCTCTGTTCTCCTGGGATTTCGGGCATGCACGCACAGGAGCCTGGGGTATCTTTCAAGCTGCTGGGTGGGGACCTGACCCACACAGTCGGCCATTTGGGACCAGTGCGTTAACCACCGCACCTCAGCGGTGTTCTCCCCTCAGCGCTGTTGACGCCTTGGGCTGCACTGTTCTTCATTGTGGGAGCCCATCCTGTGCATCGTAGGGGGGTTAGCAGCACCCTTGGTGTCTACCTGCTTGCTGCCAGCTACACTGTCCCCCTTTAGAGAGGACAAATGAACAGTTTCTCCAGAGAGCACCATGTGTTCCCTAGGGGGTCAACCCAGTCAAGAACTATGGATACAGATAGAATCATAGTGGTTTTTTAATGGCTTCTTTCATTTATAAAGCTTTTGAGGTTCATCCATGTTATTTAACATGCCCACAGTTTGTTTGTTTGTTTCTTTTTTAGTTTTTTTCTCTTTTTTTGGGGGGGTGGGGGGTTGCTGTAGAGCTCATAAACTCACCAAAGAGAGAGAGAGAGGGGGAAAGTGAGAAATCACCCCCTAGGGAGGATAGCCATGCCGTAGTCTCTCCCGGGATTTTGGGCACGCATGCACATACATCCAACATGTTTTTCAAACTGCTGGGTCCAGTACTCGAACCACAGAGTCAGCCGCGTGGGATCCAGCACCTTAACCACCACACCACCTGCTGATCCCCACAGTTTCTTTGTTTTTACTGCTAAGTAACATTTCATTGTCAGGATACACCACGCACCATGTGTTCATTCATACTTGGAGGACCCAAGTGGGTCTTCAAGCATCGGGTTTAGAGTGCTCTTTTACCATTCCTCACCAAAGAGTCACTAGACTAGCTCCGTTTACTCAGGCCGATGTTAATTTAGTGCAGAGTGGCTTCTCCTTATGATCGGCTCCTCTGCCTGAACTCAGCTCCTCTTGCGAACCCCATCGAGACTCAGGCTGCTGGCCTGGCGGGAAGCATTTCCACACATGTGGGCAGCTCTGGCTTCAGTGGAGTGAGCTAGAGCATAGAGGAGCCAACCTCGACGTGTTGCCAGTACGATAGCCTTGACAGTGCTGAGTGGCACACCCTCCTGTACCCTGCAGACGTGCTCCGGCCTCCACCCCTGCTGGCTCATCAGCTCCCTCCTCACGGTCCCCTAAGCCCAACTGACTGGCTTCTCCTCTCAGGTTCCTTCTACATTCAGTTCGTCCTGAGAGTCAGGAGAGAGTCACCGGAAGGTTGCTCCTGAGACTCATGCAGTAAACTTTATTTTGCTGGATGTGTCCCTTTACTTGCAGGTACTTCCTAGGAATTCCGTTTCTAACCCGGAGCTCAGGAGGGGTTTCCCGCCTCATGTCGCACTGTATACCGTAGGAGCCCCAGAGTGTGATTGGGTTGCTATGGCAGCAGTGTCACACCCTATTTTTCCAGAAGGCTTTCCTGGCAAATGCCAAAGGGCACTCTTTGTCTCTCTGTCACGTGCACATGTAGAGCTCTGTGGCCCCGGGAAGAACTTAACCCTCTTGTTGACGTGCCCAGTGCATGCCAAGGCCCTTCTGGCTTTTCCTGCTGTTCATGACCCGCGAGGACCAGCTCTCTCCAGCTGATCCCACTCCCCACGGGCCTCTGCAATCTGCTTGAGAGAGGCTTAGACCGTCTGCCTATCCCAGGGCTAGGAGGAAGTCAGGATAAGACTTGAACACCAGCCAAATCTGGATGTTGCCCTTGCTCCAGGAGTCAGGAGTCAGAAGGAGGGTGCCAGGCAAAGAGAAGCACTTAGTTCTCCAGTGGGCACTGCTCTTGGCCTGCACTAGCACCGGCGTCCACATCAGGACCTTTGATCTGTTGCCTGGTCTGTCCTCGTGCCCTCACCCAGAAGAGCAGGTCTAGTGCTCAGCCGATAGGAGAAGCCCTTCCATACATGGAGACAGCCCCAGCTTCAGTAGAACAAGCAAGAGCCTTGGGGTGTGTGCAGTGAGCGTCCACTGGCGACACTAACGATCAGCACAGGTAGTGGTGTTCTAAGACCCTTTCCTGTACTGGACCCCGGCCTCAGTGTATTTGCAATACGTGGGGCTTGTACAGCAGGAGCTGAACTAGCAGGGTCAGGGCCTTGTCCCCAGCCCTGCTCTGCATTCCTTGTAATAACAGAGACCACGCACAGAGTGAAGCTTCTTCTGGGCCAAGAAAGCATTAACCCAGCCCTAAGAGAGGTAGGCCAGCTGAGGCAGCCACTCAGACCCCTGGGGAGCTGTTCTGAGAAATGGGCCTCCTGGGCGGCACAAGGAGGGACCTAGGGAGTACTTGCTGAATGTTTTTGGTGGGGTTTGTTCATTCTTTCTCTTACCCTGCCCCACCCTGCTCTGCCTGCTATTTGCTCAGTGTATGGTCCTTTTCATGAGAGAATGTTTTAAAGAGCACAGACAGAAACTTACAACAAACAGTGCATTGTCTAAGCGATCCAGAGCAAGACTTTGTAGTTGCCAGGGTGGCCAGAGGCTACGAAGAAGGGAGTGGAGAGAGCAAGCCAGGCCGGGTGGGCAGTGGCAAGACTCTGAGGGAGCTGGCCTGTGGGGGTTGCGCTTCTCCACATCAGAGCCAGGCCTTTTATTCGCAAGAATGAGGTTGGCCTCAAGAGGGTAGATTGGTTGGTTGGTTTGTTTGTATTATGAAGACCCTAAGCTAATAACCGATAGGCAGTTTCTAAAGTGTCATTTATCACAAGACAGTTTAGGATGCTTTGGAACCCAGAACCTGGAGAGCTCTGAACTCAGTTTCTCCTACGGCCTATGATAGGCGAGCCTGAGATGATGGGTGTCCCCAGGCACCACTGAGTTTCGTGTCCTAAGAGAGGCCTGTTAGCACCATGCCTGCTGGTGGACTGGAGCCGGTCCATGTTGTGATGCGATTGTGTGTATCTCTTCCCTGCTCTGGGATCTGTGACTTCATGCCGGAAGCTTGAAATCAGCCAGGCCGGGAGAATTTATACCACGGGAATTGGCAAACACTGCAGGCATGGCTCTTCCTCCTCCCCTCAGCTGGTCATTAAACATTGACCAGCACATCGC